AGACAGTATGGTACTGGCACAAAAACAGACACATAGATCAATGGAACAGAATAGAGAGCCCAGAAATGGACCCTCAACTCTTTGGTCAACTAATCCTCGACAAAGCCGGAAAGAATGTCCAATGGAAAAAAGAGAGTCTCTTCAACAAATGGTGTTGGGATAATTGGACAGCCCCATGCAGAAGAATGAAATTCACCATTTCCTTAACCACACACAAAAATAGACTCCAAATGGTTGAAAGACCTGAATGTGAGACAGGATTCCATCAAAATCTTTGAGGAGAACACAGGCAGCAATCTCTTTGACCTCAGCCACAGCAACTTCTTCCAAGAAACATCACCAAAGGCAAGGGAAGGAAGGGCAAAAATGAACTATTGGGACTTCATCAAGATAAAAAGCTTCTGCACAGCAAAAGAAACAGTCAACAAAACTAAATGACAACCGACAGAATGGGAGAAGATAATTGCAAATGACATATCAGAGAGAGGGCTAGTATCCATAATCTATAAAGAACTTATCAAACTCCACACCCAAAGATCAAATGATCCAATCAAGAAATGGGCAGAAGACATGAACAGATTTTTTTTCTAAAGAAGACATCCAAATGGCCAACAGACATGAAAAAGTGCTTAACATCGCTCGGCATCAGGGAAATCCAAATCAAAACCTCAATGAGATACCACCTCACACCAGTCAGAATGGCTAAAATGAACAAGTCAGGAAACGACAGATGTTGGAGAGCATGCAGAGAAAGGGGAACCCTCCTACACTGTTGGTGGGAAGTGCAGCCACTCTGGAAAACAGTATGGAGGTTCCTCAAAACGTTGAAAATAGAGCTACCATATGACTCAGCATTTGTACTACTGGGTATTTATCCCAAAGATACAAACGTAGGGATCCGAAGGGGTACGTGCACCCCAATGTTTATAGCAGCATTGTCCACAATAGCCAAACTATGAAAATAGCCAAGATGTCCATTGACAGATGAATGGGTAAAGAAAATGTGGTATGTATATACAATGAAATATTACAGAGCCATCAAAAGGAATGAAACCTTGCTATTTGAACCGATGTAGATGGAACTGGAGGGTGTTATGCTGGGCGAAATAAGTCAATCAGAGAAAGACATGTATCATATGATCTCACTGATATGAGGAATTTTTAATCTCAGGAAACAAACTGAGGGTTTCTGGATGGTGTGGCGTGGGAGGGATGGAGTGGATGGGTGATAGACATTGGGGAGGGTACGTGCTATGGTGAGCACTGTGAATTGTTAAGACTATTGAATCACAGAACTGTACCTCTGAAGCAAATAATACATTATATGTTAAAAAAAAAAGAAGATAGCAGGAAGGGAAACATGAAGGTCGTAAATTGGATCGGGAGATGAACCATGAGAGACTATGGACTCTGAGAAAGAAACTGAGGGTTCTAGAGGGGAGGGGAGGAGGGGGATGGGTTGGCCTGGTGGTGGGTATTAAAGAGGGCACGTACTGAATGGAGCAATGGGTGTTATATGCAAACAATGAATCATGGAACACTGCATCAAAAACTAATGATGTATGGTGATTAACATAACATAATGAAATTCAAAAAATAAATAGATATTGAAAAAAATATAATTATATTAATAGCAAAAAAAACCCCATAAAAATTGTTAAAAGTGACCTTTAAAGGAAGACAATATTTTCATTAAAGTCTGACATAATGAGAGTAATTAATACAAAAAGTCCTATTGGGTCACCTGTGTGGCTCAGTTTGTTAAGCATCTGACTTGAATTTGGCTCAGGTCATGATATCAGGGCCCTGGGATCAAGTCCTGCCTTGGACTCCACACTCAGTGTGGAGTCTGCTTGGGAGTCTCTCTCTCCCTTTCCCTCTGCCCCTCCCCCTTCAAATAAATAAATAAATAAATAAATCTTAAAAAAAAGTCCCAAATTTGAGGAATACATTTGAGTATAGATAACAATGCATTAGCATCTCGAATATATACAGAACTCCTAAAGTAAGACAGGAAATCATAACCCAATAGAAAAAATGGGGAAAAGACATGGTATAAATAGGCATTTTATGTGAAAAAAAAAAGATTGCCCAATCAATATATAGCAGATGCTCAACAAAATAATCAGGATAATGAAAAATCATAATGAAACACTATTTCACTCACATGAGATTAGCACAAATTTTACAAAGTAGGCATAATTTCAAGTTAGTCTTAGAAAAATAACAAATGGTCATCTGATTTTAAATCTCTTAACATGGTCTCCTATAAAACTATGAGTCTGATGAAGAGGACACACCAAATAACACATGACTCATACATTTAGAATTAGTAGGCGACAAGAATGGCATGAATTTCAAATTATTTTAAGTCTGAAAATCATCAAGTTCCAACAGAGCTGCCATCGAAGCTCCACTTCCACAGCAAGTCTGTGGGCATGGAGAGAAGGATGGAGAATTTAAAAATATTTGTGGACATAAGAAAGGGGATCAGGGTATATAGATGAACTATGAGAAAAAAAAGAAATCTCTCTAGAAGGACACGGGTCAACAATAAGCGTTAAATCACCAAATGTAGCTCTGGAACCCGGGAGTCCACAACACCAGTCACATGGCTGAAAGTAACCAGAGTTAGCCATGTTTTGGGGACAGAAGATAAGTAGAGAAGGGATAGCACCCCTTCAGATATGATAGGAAGCTAAATCAGAATGAAGTGAAATTAAGAATACTGTAGGAATGAAAGAGAAATAAAACCCATCAATGCCTACTGTCTCCCATTGCCACCAACACCTAAATCAAAGATGCTTTACTTCACTGCAGTGACAGAAGAGTATGGTACTGAACTAGAAAGCCATTTCATGAAATGCCTAGAAATAAAAGAGAGAGAGAGAGAGAGAGAGAGAGAAAGCTTATTTCAAATAAAGCTATGTAGCAAGAAAACAAAAATGCAAATCAAAACATTTCAAAGAAAAATTCTTCCAGGGGAAAAAAAAATTGAAACAGAAGGAATCTATAAAACAACACTTGAATCTGAATTAAACAAGCACTCAAACACTCAAACAAGTACTTGGAGATATAAGAAGCCCAGCTATCATCAGAAATTAAGAAAAGAAATGCAGGAGGATGAGGAGAAGCAGGAGGAGGAGAAGGAGCAGGAGGGGGAGGATGGAGAGGGGTACAAGGGGGAAGGGAAGGAAGGAGGAGGTGGGGGAAGGAGGAGAAAGGCAGCAGCAAAGAGATTTGACTAAACAAAAAAAAAAATTGAAGAATAAATTCAATATGCCAAGGACACTATTAAAATTAAAGATATGCATCACAGAGAACTTCTGTATGCTCATTATGAGAGTATGAACCATACATATGTTTTGGACAGCAATTTGGCATTATCTATTAAAATTAAAAATGTCATCCTCCACACTCAGCATTTGAAACTTTAGCATCAGCATATTCTAGAGCAGGGATCTGCAAACCACAGCCCATTGACCAAATCTAACCTACTGCCTGATTTTCTAAGTAAAGGTTTATTGGAACAAAACTGTCCATTTTTTATGTGTTGTCTTTGGCTGCTTTTGTGAAAAAGGGGAGTTGAGTAATTGCAAAAGGTAGCCCACAATGCTGAAAATATTCACAATCCTATCCTTTGTTGTAAAATTTGCTGATGCCTGGCCTAGAAAGGCTTTTGTCTGTATTAAAAAACATGTATGAGAATGTTTATAGTAAAAAGCTGTTGCCACAAATATTCATCACCAGTAGAACAGACAACTAAATTGGGAAACTATCCAGTGGGCTACAGTAGAGCAGAGAAAAGCATGCAGATGTATGCAACAACAGGAATGAACAGTTGAGTGAAACAAAGGAAGTATGAACATGATGTTTCCATCTGTGTCAAGGTTAAAACATATGAAGCTGGACTATATGCAGTCTGTGGAATCATACACATGAAATAAAATGTTAAAGTAACATATGGGACAGGTCAAGTTGTTCCCATGTTTATCCTTAGGGACAGGGGGAAAACAGTCTCAGTGGCTCTCCAAGGAGTTTCACGGGTACTGGTCTAATTTTCTTTCTTTAAATGGATGGTGTATCCAAAGCTGTTTGCTTAATTGTCATTTACATTATGATTTTTTTAATTTTAAAAAATCACTTCAGATCCCAAATCAAATATCATTGTCTTTTTAGCAAGAGAAAATTTATCTAACACATTATATTATTTCCACAGATTATTTTTTCACTCTGTTTAACCTACTTACCATATACACTGACATGGACATTTTTTAATAGTTAACTAATTAGTTTATTTGTTACTCATTTCTGAACGAATTAGTTGGATATAGACCTACACACACACACACACACACACACACGCACACACAGAATTATATTCCATATACTTATAGAGTAATTATAAAGAACACAGTGATGTTACATGACTGGGGTTAAATGCTCTTGGTTAGGTCACTGCTCTGTTCCCTGGCCAGGTAGGTGATCCCTGAATTCTTCTATCATCTCAAAGTATTACCTGTGAAATGGGAATACTAATAATCTCTGCCTTTCTTTTTAGTGTGTATAAATTTAAAAAAAATGCTCTGTAGTCATTTGTATAAATAATACTGTCATTGTCACTTTCACACCCCAGCATGTGACATCTGCATGTCTTTGTTTCAGGTTGTACGGCTCGCCAGGTGACATTGACTTCTGGCCCGCCCTCATGGTTGAAGACCTGATCCCTGGTACGAGAGTGGGACCAACACTTATGTGCCTGTTTGTTACCCAGTTTCAGCGGCTAAGAGATGGAGATAGGTGAAGAATTATCTGTTATACTTATCAAAGCTAACAAAATTGTTTTTTGCCCCAAAATATAGGTGTACAATAACATTATGAGTGTGAGTCCATGCTTTCTATGATTTAAAATATTTTGAATATGAGAAATAACAAATAGCATCTGGTCACAGAATTTTTCTGACTACTGATAATACCAGATAGCACTCCTTTTTGTAAATTTTTATAAATCTTTGTAAGAAAAAAAGAAATAGACTGTCTAGGAAAGGCATAGAAGTCAGTGGTTAAAAGGATGCACTAGACTTACTACCCTGTGTTTAAATCTGGGCACACCTACTCGAAACTATTTAACCTTAAGAAGCATAACACCTGAAACCTGTTGCCTCATCTGTGAAGTCTGATTAACAGTAGTACCTAGGGCTCATAGATTGTGGCAACTGTGAATGATGTTGGCAGGCAGGAGTTGACAGCAGGCCTGCAGCTGCATCTCTTCATCCTCATGGAAGACCTGTTGACCCAATACTAGACCTCCTTGCAAAACTGTGCTAAGGGCATTTACTAGGAGAAAGATAACTGGGAATTCTTCATAAAGATCTCTTGGTTTGTCTGCAGTGTTTACTGTAAATCAACTTGACTTTATGAAATTATGACAGACAGCTGGCTGGAGATGTAAGTTCACGTAATATCTTTCTTGCAAGGCTAACCAAGTATAAAAACTAAGAAAACTGAAAAGCTAAGTAGCCCCCACTGGGTTGGCATGGGACACACTATTAGCTCTCCTCTCTTACTTGAACCTAATGTGTTCCAGGGCACTCGCTGTATCTTCTGAATCATTAGTATAGTCTTGAGTAAGAGCTAGGAGTCTTGTGAACCTGTTTGACAATCCAACCTTTTGATTTATTGCAGACATGTGTGTATCTATATCTATATCATCTATCTATCTGTCTATCTATCTATCTATAATGACTTAAAACACTATCTAGAACTTATTTTTTTTAAGATTTTTTATTTATTTGTCAGAAAGGGGAAGAGAGAAAGTGAGAGAACACAAGCAGGGAGAGTGGCAGGCAGAGGAAGAAGCAGACTCCCTGCAGAGCAGGTAGCCCGATGAGGACTTGATCCCAGGACCCTGGGATCATGACCTGAGCTGAAGGCTGAGCCACCCAGGTGTCCCCTAGAACTTAGTTTTTAATTAAAGTTATACTAAAAATTATTCTTTACTTAAATTTTTCTTCCCAATCTCTTCTTATGAATTATAAAGAAAGTAGGAACAGATTTAATTCCTTTAATTGCACATTGGCAAACATTCATAGTATAATATTTCATTTTAATTTTTATAAATTAGTTTTAGCACTCTGGATTTATTGCCACACATAGTTGGGCTATGTTCAATTGATAGTAGTTAAAAAGTAAATAAATTTGGGAAAGCTTTGGTTTTTTTGATGTAAGCTGCCTTCCTCATTTGTATTAGTTTACTATGGCTACCATAACAAAATCCAAAAGACTGAGTGGCTTAAATTACAAATGTATTGTCTCACAGTTCTGGAGTCTAGGTAAAGGTTGGGAGTGTTGGTCCCTACAGAGACCTTTCTCCTTGTCTTGTAGATGGCCAACTTCTCCCTTTCTCTCCACATAGTCTTCCCTCTGTACCTTTCTGTGTCCATATTTCCTTTCCTTATAAGGAGACTAATCATATTGGATTATGACCTTAATTCCCCCATGACACTCTAATGACTTATTTTTACTTAACTACCTCTTTAATGGACCCGTCTCCAAATAAAGTCACATTCTGAAGTACTGGGGGCTAGGATTTCAGAATATTAATTTTGAGGGGACACAAGTCAACCCATATGCCATGTGAGTGGCAACAGTCTTTTGCTTCCTATCATATGTTGTATTCCTAGCATGAGAAAAGTGCTTGGCATATGGTACTGAAATACTTCCTGAAGGAATGAACAAGGGCTCACTTTAATAATGTTTTTAAACTGTATGGTTTCATTTGAAACCGAATGTGTTCATTCTAATTAACCAATAGATATAATAAGCTAGTGTGTATTAATAATTACAAAGCAACATTTTCCTTTTAGACAAACATGTCAATATTAAACTGTTCAGGTAATTTCTAAAAGCAGTTTATGGAATTTTAGAATAGAAAACTCGCTTTTTAAAAATCTTTTAAAACTTTATAAAGCTTTACTTTGAATCATTTTGTAAAAGTTGAAGAGAAAGCGATAGTTCAAAAGCATGGGATTTAAGAACTTTATAAATATTGGAGGCAGTTCAAACATGCTTAGTTGGAGAACAAACATAATCCTTTCCATATGCTTCTCTTTTGCTGAGCTCTTCCGTACTGTTATCACTGCTCCGCACGCAGCTCAGTACAGTGCTCCGCCCAAGACCCTCATTCTGCCTCTCCTTGCTGACCACCAGGTTCTGGTATGAGAACCCCGGGGTGTTCACTCCCGCACAGCTCACTCAGCTAAAGCAGGCGTCACTGGGCCGCGTGCTCTGTGACAATGGTGACAACATCCAGCAAGTCCAGGCCGATGTCTTCGTGAAGGCACAATACCCGCAGGATTACCTGAGCTGCAGTGAGATACCTCAGGTCGATCTGCGAGTGTGGCAAGACTGCTGTGAAGGTCAGTGAGCACACCGTTAGCCCTGTCTGAATTTGCATGTGTGCGTGCTTGGGTGATTTCTAACGTCAAAGACTAGGCTCCTCCAACAAAGGTGCACGGAGGAAAACACACGAGAGCAGGTCTTCTTCCCTTTAGGAATCAAACGGATGTTGGAGAGGACTACGGGAACGCGTTTCACCTCCCCTCCTCCATTTGGATCCAGTCTCCTCAGAATGGGGAGGGGCTTGTCAGGGAAGGAGGGGCCCAGCAGAGCGGGGAGGGGCTTGTCAGAGGCGGGGAGGGACCTGGGAGAGCAGGGAGGGCCCAGCAGAATGGGGTGGAACTTGGTGATCAATCTGGTCTCTAATTCTCCTCGCCATTCAGATGACTATGCCAAACATCAAACTCCAGTCTTTTGGTACTGGATATATCTGCTTCCTGGGGGTCAGCTGACCACAAAGAGGAGAAAAAAATCATAGTAGCTCAGCTAGTTTAGACTATTTAGTCTCCATACGATGTTGCACCCGTGTTCACTGGAAATTTGGGGATGTCCTGATAGAGAACTTTTTCTAGTGATACAACATAATTTGCCACGTCTACCATATCACCTTTTATAAGCCAAACTCTATCTAAGGTGCTTTGTATGCATCTACTTTGTCACCACAATACCTCTTAAGAAATGTGGCTCTAACTTTCCTTTAATAAATGAGAATATGGCTCAAGAGTGTCAGATAACTTGGAGTAAGTGGTAACCTAGGGCTGGGGAAAGGATGTATGTCAGCTGACACCTAGAAATGAACTAAGAACTTGATGGTTCTGAGCAGAACATGCCATGGTTCCACATGTGAGCACATATCTCTCACATGATACCACACTTGTGTCTCTTTTGCCTCTACCAACATACAGGCCACAGTGGCCTTGTGCCTGCCATGTATAGAGGCTATGGACCTGGGGGAGCGCTGATGTTCTCTAAGAAGAAAAAGGCACCTGCCATCATAGAAGTAGTACTTGGCATTCACGGGAGAGATGTTATTAGCCCCAAACATTCCTGAGTGGGAAAATCAAATACTAGAAATAGGAGAGAATGTTGATCCAAAAACAGTGACATCTGAGTTGCAGTTTCCTTTTTCTCTATGGTGGGTTTTATGCGACAGAGAAGAAAGTCATTTAGTACAGTGAGAAGGAGATGTACTTTCCCTCACCTCAAATTCTTGGTGATTATGGCCAGGAATAATGAAATATTTCCAGCTCTCCAAAACATGGGACACAGGGAGGCAATGTGAAAAACAAGATGTATGGCAAGTAGTAACAGTCCTCTTGCTTTTTCTGCCATCTTCAGAATGGGCATTGAGCCCACTGGGTAGAGGAAGAAATAGATGGGATGGCAGGGTGTGGGCCATGATGATGAAAATAGCTGTGCTGTGGATGGAAGTGATGATTCAAGTCCAGGAAACAAAAGCTGTGGTCCCATTATGCCCACATATGCCTGTTCTAGATGCTCACACCACCAGCCCTGTGATAGGTGATTCATACATAACACCTGCCTATTTCATAGTCCTTATGAGTCTCTCAAGGTGGGTATCATTGTCCCCACTTCACATTTGAGGAAAATGAGGTTCCTGGATGCTAAATGCATATTCTGAGGTCCCCCAGCTGGGATTTAAACCTATATATAGCCAACCTGAAAGCCTCAGCTCTTTTCTCTGTGTGCATGGTCTCTTTTGAACACCCATAGGACACGGGCATGGCACAGACAGTGAGCAGGTACCAAATGAAGGTACTCTGCTTCTGCCACCCTCCTGCTCCTTCAGTCCTGTGTTTCCAATGTACTATCAGACATCTCAAGACCCACAGGAGAGATCCTGTCATTACTTAAATTGTAGTGCATTTTTTATTGGTGATATTTGTTATGGAAAATGCATTGCAAAGATTTAACAGGCAAGGGGAGGAGAGAATCTTGAATATGTGAAGCATTCTTATTATTAAGATCCTAATTTGTGGTCTTGAGCAATAGTAAGAATGCTCTTTCTTTGATAGAAACTACAACAAAAATCCTCTCCTAAATGCAAAAATACATTGAAATTGATCTTTCCAAAACTGTAATATTGTAAATGCAATTGAGTTTTGGATAACTGTACTTTATTATTCTTGGTAGGTAGAAGGCATAAGACCTAAAAGATGGACATGGGACTTGTATGTCACTTAGAGAGCGGTGTTGCTGTGTGTTCGTGTAGACAGTGAAGTGGTGGAGTATCTTAGGGTGTTAAGGAGTTGGACTTTCTTTTAATTTTGCATGTCATTTGTCACATTATATCATCCATTTATCTTTGCTTCTTACCACTGTATAAATATACCCAAGTCATTCCATTTATATATATTATTAGGTCAGAATATGTCTAGATGGTAACTTTTCTTATCAATTCAGTCTCAAACTTGTGAGTAATTTCAATTCACAGATTTATACTTTTCTTCAACAAAGGGGGATGTGAATCTCATATTCCTTAATAATTATATATTCCTTAAATATTGTATAATATATATATATATTTTTCCTTTTGAACTGTCTTTGGCTATTAGGCCTGCACAGTTTACCCTCCAAATCTCTTTTCTTGTCCTTCTTATTTCAACCTCTTATATTTTTGCTAAATGTTCTAATATATTTTTTGCACATGACCACTAATATCAAATTCACTAATTTCAGTCTCAGTAGGAACCATCCTCCTTTTAAATTCCTTTATTTAATTTCTTAGTTCCAACATCATCTAATTAAGCTTTAGGAAGTTTTTCTCTGCAGCATTTGCCATGCCTTAAATTCCTGTATTATAATTCTCTGCCCCTTCCATCCCATGGGGCATGCTCGACGATGGCATTCCCTACTCTTTCCTTGGCTGTCAGGCTCCTGGAATGGACAGTTACTTTTCCTCTCTTGGATGGCGGGGATTCAGGTCAGGTTGTTGACGTTACCTCCATGGCAAAAAACCTCGCAGAAGGTGATATCAGCCACTCCCAGGCTGAGGGCAGGAAGACAGCCCATCTACCCAGGTCATTCTCCACCTTCTGAGAAGTAGAGACCTCCGGCAGGCCCTGAAGGCAGAAGTTATCAGGGAAACCACAGAAATCTGGACGTCAAGTCCTTCCAGAGCTGAGCTACCCCCAGTCCTCTTCCCTGGCTGGGTGGTCCCCAAAGTGTTGGGGTCCCTCAGGAACACTGGGCCTGACTCTTTCCCAGGGCCTCAGCACAGCCCTCTCCTGGTCCCCCGAGCGTGCACCTGTCTGCAGGGTCCGAGGCAGCGCAGCTTGCCCTGGGGAGTCCTGGCCTCGGGACTGGGAACCTAGGGGAAGACCTATCTTCCACACTGGGGAATTCCTGTAGTTCCTGTGACCCTGTGATGAAGCATCTACCACTGAGCCAGGCAGGTACCTTTCTTCTTGCCTTTTGTTGAGCTGCATGCCAGTCAAGGTCTAAGATCTCCAGGGAAAACATGGGTACCTGAGGTTTCCTTTTTGGCAGCATTAACCAGCAGATGTGGTTGCTGAAGGTCATGGAGGTTCCTGTTTAATCATTTTATGCTCTCCCTTGTGTGGACTAAAAATATACTGAAGCAAGCTGTGGGAAAACTAGTTTTGATCTGAAACTAAGGTAGGACCTGGAATTCAGTTTTAAAACATGGGTTTCTTTGAAGATTAAAAGCATTCTTATATAGAAACTTAGGAGTTCCCCTAAGGAAAAAGCAAAACACATTTTAACTGTTTACTAGGTCATTCATTCTCCCTCCTGTCCTCTTGTCTGGGAATATATAAATCCCATGGGCCCTAAGCCCATGAAGCCCATGGTTTTTTTTTGTTGTTGTTTGTTTTTGTTTTTAGAGAGGGAGAGCATGAAAATGAGGGTGGGGAGCGAGGAGAGGGAGAGGGAGAGAATCTCAGGGCTCAGGTCATGATCTCAGGGTCATGGGACCCAGCCCTGCGTGGGGCTCCGTGCTCTGTGGGGCGTCTGCTTGAGATTTTCTCCCTCCTCTCCCTCTGCACCCCCCCGTGCTTGCACTGTCTCTCTCTCTCTCTCTCAAATAAATAAATAAATAAATATTTTTAAAAAATAAAAACAAAAATCACACAGCAACCCTCCAAAAACTTAGGAAAACTTGCCTAAGCATCTTGGGGTTTATTCCATTTTGTCATTGCCTACTTCATGGTTTTTGCTTTATGGGTTTATTTCTCTGCCCAGCTTCTGTATTTGACACATAGATTTAAACTATCTGCTGTGCTGACTCTGATTCTGTCAATATGAGCAAACTGCAGCTAAATATGTGTGAACTAATTTATTTGAAAGAATCTATAGACAATTGGACATCATCTACCAGGATGACCTCTTTCAGGGACCAGTTCTAGATACTCCCGGCTTGATTTCTTTGTTGTACCACCCAGCAGTACACTGGAAGTCACTAGGGGAGCCCGTAATTTGCACAGGTGCTACTACTAGTAGTACCAGAGAATGTGGAGAAATGACAGAGGTGAAGTGGGAGCTATATGCTGGTTCTGGATGCAAGCTTGCATGAAGCAGATGCATACCTTTGGTACAAGTGATATGGCAGAAACCTAGGATACTTATGAGTTAGTCTTTAAATACAGCACTCTGAAATGATTAATATTGGTAAGGATTAAAGAAACAATATTCTAATTCAAATCATGGAAGATTCTAGTCAAAGATTATTTACCTACTGTTCATGAGGTTTCTGTTTTTCTGAGCACGTAAGAAAATGCTATTCTGTCCACAATGTGTCTGTCTATGTTATGTCAAAACAACTTAAAGTTTGATTCAAAGTATATGTAAGCATTAGGCCAGTTTGTGGAGATAGTTACCAGATGAATACATTGCTTGATTTGTTGTTATTCTTATTTCAACCAACATAAAACTAGTAATTCAGTGCCATAAGTATGTACTAGAAAACAGTAAGTTTTTACCAAAAATATGGAGAAAAGCATGAAGAACAAAGAGAGGTTCAGAACAGAACCTTTGCTCT